AAATTGTTTCTAACAAGGATTTGAAGAAAATAAAATTCTCAAAATCCAAGATCTCTGAAAAACTTTAAACCTAGTTTTTCAGCATCCGAGATCCGAAAATAAACTCTCTTTTTTTTTTGATTACACAGAGCAACTGATTCCTTTTTGTCCAATTTTTCCTGAGGAAATACAATTTGTTGTGCGTTTCTTCATGTCGATGTAGTTTCGTCAAAAAAATGTCATGAACAGCTCCAACACATCTTATTTTGTAGAAAACCAGTTGTTCTATTACTCTATGTAATCAAAAGATATTTTTATTTTCGGATTCTGGACACTGAAAAATTATATCTTGGATTTTCTAGAGATCCTGAACTTTGAAAACACTGTGAAGATTATACTTCCTTGTTGAAAACATCTTTCTCTATTCAAGTCGCTATTTGGATTCTTTATACGAATTATTATTACGGAAAAAAAATCGAAATAAAATCTGTATGATCAATCTTTGGAGCCACTATAACAGGTTACAAATTTTGTTCACAGATGTTTTAATAGTTGAAATATAATAGAATTCTCTATATGAGCATCTTCTTATATTCCACAGTCCTTAGTTTGCCTCATGTAAGTTTTGCTAAGAATGAATCTCTCAAATATAGAGATCCACTAATACTTAGAACATGATGCCAATGATGACATTTTTTTGTTGCACTATCCGAAACTGTATTTGAAATCGATGAAACACAAAACAAATGTGTTGGAATTGGTTGAAAATTCTCATTCTTTAGTTTTTTTTTTTCGATCAAGTCTAACTGATATTGAGATTTGTGTTTTGTATTAGGCAAATTCTAATAATAGTTTCAGATCAAGACTAATCACAACTAGCATGGAGAATCGCTCGAAGTTCAGTAATTTTCAATATTGGAAATATTCCAAACTACGATTAGAAATTATCAATCCCAAAACATTTGTTCCTTATTTCATCAATTTCGACTACAGCTTCGCATAGAGCAGAAAAGAACTGATTATGATTGATATAAATAATCTACAGGAGCTGCACTCTTAACAAGGAAAAAAAATGTCATCTTTGACATCATATTCTAGGAATTGGTGCACCCCTACTCATATATGGACACATCATTATTCTGAACAGTAGGCGTTTATTTCTTGTCCCGTGAGTAATAATAAATTCTGCAATGTGCACAACATATGTTTTATCATTTACAGCAGAACAATAAAAAAAAACTGATGTTATGTGCATTACGTTATTATAAACAATCATAGGGAAATAGAATGAACTAATCGTGCATATTAATAACAGCAGCAGTGCTTGGTGTAACATCTCGTCGTTTTTTTTTTGTGTTAACAGCTAGTAATATTAAATTATGTCAACATGTGTTGATTTACTTGTGATAAAAAAAAAAGTTGAGTTATTAAATCGTTGGAAAGATGATTAACTTAAGCAGTCGACAAGTGATTGCAATTGAATACTTATAGGTGACAAAAAAGAAACGGAAAGCCTCTCAATAGTGAGTACGTTTGATTGATCCTATTGGAGAAGTTTCATTGTATTTTTTATCTTTATTTAGTTAAAACGTATGCAAAACAAGGTTTCTATTAAAAAATGACATTGAATATCTAAAATCTCCTCCTAAATCTAATTTTATCATTGAATATTTTCTATACTAAAACATTAATATTATAAATTACTACTAAGATAATCCAAGGGATATGACATATTGTCATTATTTATATTTTGCATCACTAGTTTCATTTGAGAAGAGAAAAATCAAAAAAATAAATAAATAAAGATTTACTTTTCTTAATTGATGATTATCTTGAATTTGTCCCAATGAATTCATATATGTTCTCCAATTATCTATAGTTATTAAATGATAACAACCTTCTTCTGGATGTAAATCACTTAAATCAATTGTTGGACGAACAACATTAAATTGATAACAATTAGCAAAACCTCGACGATTTTTTTCATAAGCAAATAAATTCCATTCATTTAAAATTTCAATTAAACGATCAAGACCACCATTATGAAAATGTAAAACTTTATATTGAGATTCACATGATGCTATAACTAATTGTCCACTACCGCTTGCCGTTGTTGCTACATCATCACAATAAAATAAACGTAATGAACGCATTTTACCAAGATCAACTGAAAATACACCACAATATTGTTCAGCAACATTTCGTCGTATAGCATCATCATCGTCAATAATTGATGAATTTTGTTTACATATATTTGTAGCATTTTTCCATGAATCTGTTTCTTTCATAAATGGTAAACTATCATCAGTAACACGATTTGGTGATTGATTATTTGTTTCAATATTGTCAAATGCTTCATCATCTTGTTCATCAAGAATTTCATCAGGTCCTTCAGTTAAATCTGATGTTATTGAATCTTGTCTCATAAAAGATTTATCATCTAAAGCATCTTCATATTGATCATCAGATGAATGACGACGATCATTTAAATTTTCATGTTCAATTGGTGATAATAATAAATTTGAATTTGTTGTATGATAACCACTATCAATTGTTCTTGATAATGAACGACGTGGTGTTGATGTTGGTGGTGGATCGATATCTGTATTTATTGATGGTGATGATGATGATGTATCATCGCATATAGATGATTGTTGTGATGTATTTGAACGACTTTTTAATGTTGAATTTGGTATCCATGTTAATATTAATGTTGAACCACTTTGTGGATTATTTTGACATTTAATACATAAATAACCAGGATGATGAAGTGTATATGAATGTAAACGTGATGGAGGATGAACACAAATATTATTTTTTGAAAATATAATTTCACCATCTAATGGTGGACATTTATTTTTTATCAATGATGATGTTGTTGAGGGTACACCTGATGAACTTGCACGCTGTGTTAAAAGATTTGATGCACGACGAATAATTGATGTAACGGAATGTTTTGATGATGATGATGATATTTTATTATTTCGTGGTGTCGAAGGAACTGATGAGATTTTTTTATATAGATTCGACATGATTATAAGAGAAATTCTAGAAGAGAAAAAACTATAATTAAAAAAAAACACCTATTATAAATAATAAAATAGGAGTTGAGAAGAGAACTTATTTCCGCTTGTTTTTATTGTATGAAAGGAGAGTACATGATATAATTTTCTCAATGAAAAATAAATATGAAACTAGTGTCATCTTAAGGATGAGAAAAAGAATATCTTTTTTTTTGTTTATTAGAATTAAGTTTCAACGAATTTTATTAATAAAAATGTTTTCAAATAAAATTCGAATTGAAATCATCAAGATAAATATTTGACAATTGGTTTGAAATTTCTGGTTAATAAACAATTGGTTTGTTTTATTATCCAATGCATGAGTGTCCTCAAAGTTCTTCTTTTAGGTAAATAATTGAAGAACTAACGAAATAACATATGAAATTAATTTAATTCAAAATTAACAATTCGAACGTTTTTCTTATTCCACATGAATAATTATTTGTTTTTTATTGAATGTATTAAGAGATTAATTTTAATTGTTGATTTCTGTATTTAATATGCCATCGCATGTTTACAAGTTTGTCCACACTATCGGTGGTATATTGGTTTTAGATTATTAGTCAGAGAAAAACTACCAATAATACCGTAGTAGAATAGCGGTCAGAGGATACTCGATCGCATTTAAGTATCAAACTAATACCGATGAATTGGTGATTTTGTGCCACTACCAACAACTATCATTAACATAGCACACATTATATTCAACGATTTACTGGCGTTTTTTTTCTGGTTTGAATAACACATAATGTAGATTTGACTTTTTTAATTGAATAAGTGAGTTATTTTTTTAATCAAAGTTTTATATAATCAACTTTAGAGTAAACTGTTTTTTGATTAATATGTACTAAACAAAACAAAAAAAAACAAATCTTGATTGTTAAATAAATTTAAATTGAGATTATGATATTTAAAGATATGCAGCGTCAGAATACCGCTACCAAAAAGCTATCTTTCGATAGAGTTGTTGTCTCAATATTTACATCCGTAATGATATTCATTTTATAATATCTAATGGATAAAAACATTTAATTAGGTGAAAATTCTGCTTCAAGTTCATTGTGTAGTATTTATGAGTATTACAAGTGCAAAAAGGGTACATATAATGTCATGTATACCTACCGTAAAATAGTTATCGCATAGAGTAAAGAAAAAAAAATACTTGAATACAATGCTCGTATACAGTAAAAATACAAAAAAAAAACGATTTATGCGTACTGAAAACTGTCTTATGTCATTGTATTATGAATATAGCTATTAATCACTGACTTTGTTTACTCACATCAAATTGAATAGGAAGGAAATGACATTAAGAGTAATAGACAACATGAAATACAATTAATATTGAACTCTTTTATGCATTTGTCTTTGAAAAAAAGATATGAGTACTATATTTTTGATATAATCATTTTTAATAAATTAAACAGAAAAAAGTTTCAATAGATGCACAAGAAAAATCAAAGAGTCAATCTCCTGTTTTTCATGATTTTCATCGATAACGATAATTAGACATTGTAGAAATAAAATAAATTACAATTCGTTCATAGTCATATGCTAGCTACTTAGAATCGACTAAATTATGATATTCAATTAGGTTGTGATTAAAATGATGAATTCAGTTTTTATTAATGATTTATTGTTCAGAAGATCGCAAATTATCTAGATTTGACTTCAATCAAACCAGAAAAAATTTCACTATACAATCATTTACAAAATAATAATGAGTTTTATAAATTTTGTATAAGACTTTAAAATATTGATCTATTCTCATATTAACAGTAGTTCTATGCGAGTAAAAAAGAAAAGTTACTATTTCCTAGAGAAACAAGATTTTGTCTATTTCATCATTTTTACTTCTAAATCGATCTATTCTTTATCTGAATAAATATTTTAAATTTAAAACTTTGAAAATTTTTATTTTCTAGAAAATAGTTTTTTATTGATTGAAAATAATCAATAATGTCATTGAATCATATAGAAACAAATAATGATGATGATGTTGCAATTCTCGATATAACATCAGATGATAATAATAATAATGATGATGATGAAGAAAGTCCATTATTAAATGATAATACTCAACAAAATAATTCCATTGTATTAACACCTATTAGTGATACTATTCGTGTTCCATCGATATCTCGTTATCGTTTAACAAATATACTTCGTACTATTCTTTTTATTGAATTTCTTACATTACTTACAATTTGGTTAGTAGGTAATAAATAGTTTCTTTTTGTTTTGATATTTCATTTATGAAAATTTCTGATTAAATAGGTTATACAACACATTCTCTTATCGATGATATAATTCATTATCAATTCACAACATCTATATTTGATATTGTGTCTGTATCAGTTTGTAAACTTATTTTATTAATTATTTTTCTAACAGAATTAGAAACATCGGTTATTGCTCGTTTATATCAAGTAAATTCACGTCAATCATTTATTTTCATTCGTTATTTATATATAATTATACTTCTACTTCTATCAAGTTGTTCATTAGCATTTTCAATTATAAAATTAATATTTGTTTTATATAAATTAAAGTTAAATAAACTTTATTTATCATCAGTTTATTTATTTCTTATATTTTCATCAATAGAATTTATTGGTAGTTTATTAATGATACCATATTTGACACGAATAAAATTACTTGAACAACAACGATCAAATTTAACAAAAAAAAAAGTTAATTTAAAACGTTTAATTTCATTAGCAAAATCAGAACGTTTATTAATAAGTATAGCAATTTTGTTTTTATTATTGTCAAGTGCAACACAAATTATTCAACCATATTTTTTTGGAAAAATTATTGATAATGCATTAACATCGGATACAATGCATTTAGTTAATATAAATGTTCTTATTTTACTTGGTATTAATTGTGCAGGTGCAGTAGCATCATCCTTTCGTTCATGGTTATTTGAATTATCTGGACAGTATGTTTAAAAGTTAATATAATTAAAAATTAGATTTTTGTTTTTTGTTTGTTTTTAGGAGAATTGTTTATCGTCTTCGTCAAAATATATTTAATTCAATTATAAAACAAGAAGTTGGTTTTTTTGATGATACTCGTACCGGTGAATTAACAAATCGTTTATCAAGTGATACACAAGTATTACAAAATGCTGTTACTGTTAATATATCAATGCTTGTTCGTTTTCTTGTACAAATTATTGGTAGTCTTGCTGTTATGTTTTATTTGGAAGTAACATTAACACTTGTTTTAATGGTTGTTGTACCAATGATTATCCTTATTTCAAAACAATATGGTTCTATTGTACAAAAATTACGAAAAAAATTTCAAGATGAATTAGCTGCAGCTGGATCAACAGCTGAAGAATCAATATCAAATATTCGTAAGAAATTTTCTTATAGAAAATTAGTGCCGCTCTTGTTTTTATTGGACGGTGGCGAAGAGCATCTTCTCTAAGTCCATCGTGTTATCAAGAATACATGGTACCAATAAAATAATTGCATTCTCCACTACTCTTTCCAAAACAAGAGAGACGCTAAAGTTCTAGTCTTGCTGTTAACTACTCTACTGGTCATTTATATTCCGGATAGTACAGCACACGTAGCGACGACGTCACCTGCCACTGTCCAACCAAAACGAGAGAGGCGCTAATGCTTTGCCTCCGTTGCTACTCCGCCGATCGATGCATGATCTATATTCAAGTCGTCAATGAAATATATATATCTCTGGAAAAAAATAGGTTTTTAGTCGAGTTTGTAAATCTATTATCACTGTAAAAACATATTTAAAAAAAACGGGAAAATAAATCAACTGCAATGAAAGCATCCTCATCATCAAATTCCTACAAATTTATTTTTGTCACTGTCTCAATTAGCTTTTTATATTTATCAATATCTATGGAGGTAGTTCTCGGAAAGAAAAATTATATATTATGATATAGCTTGAAATTCTCTATATTTATCTATCGTCTTGCTTTTATTTGTTGGCAAAAAAAGTTAAGTACATTGGATCTACTGTCACTTGACTAATACCAAATATCCGCATTTTTTCACTACTTTCTTTTTCTTTTTAAGTTTTTTTTTCACGAAGCTAAAGTGCAGCACCGGAGAATTTAAGTTATAACTATGAGCGAGAAAAGATTTCCGAAGTCAAGTAATTCGAATCTCTAATCAATTTTTCGAAAACGCTTGTGTTCGATTTTTTTCGGTTAGGGGAAGATTACTTCAAACCAATAGCTGAATGATATGAAATGTGAGTGAATTGTAGCAAAATAGACTACTACTGACGAACAAAAATCGATTAGAGATTCGCATATCTCGACTTCGGAAATCTTTAGTCAAGTCTTATATGAAGAATAGCCTTGTCTTGATTAAAAAACTCGAATTAAAATAGTATGACTTACTCATAGCTATTACCTTAATTTCCAGTCTAATTCCAAATATGTATCAGTACCATAATACTTTCAATCCCAAAAGATGATGAGGTGTTGAGTGTTCTAAATCTGCCTTTTCTCTCTTGCAAACACTTACAATTGAGTTTACGTTTTCTCCGTGTTTAATACTTCACTTGAAATCGAATGATTAAGTGATTAGCGTGAGGTAAATACCATTTTTTTTCTATAAAATTCAATCGAACGCTTTCGGGGTTGAGAAATTCATTTTTCAACAGTATTTGTTTAACCAATCAGATTTCAGCATGATGTTCTATTATTAATGAGCTAAAGACAAAGTGTATTAAATCCTGATTGGTTAAACAAATACCATAGGAAAACGGATTACATGACCCTGAGAATGCATGATCAAACTTTATATAAAATCGTTGTTGCCAAAAATTCATTTTTTCAGGAACTGTACGTATATTCGGTGCAGAACGTAAAATTAGTGATCATTATCTGGATAATTTATTAAAATCATATGCAGTTGGAAAAAAATTAGCATGGAATACTGGTTTATTTATGGGTATAGTTAGTTTATTAGTAGCTGGAGGTATTTCAGTTGTATTATGGTAAGAAGATAATGAAAATAGTTTGGTTTTTTTTTGTAAATAAAAATTTTTTTGTTTTTGTTTTTTTATTGGTATGGAGCAAAATTAGTTCATGATAGAAAATTATCTACTGGCCTTCTTGCATCATTTTTAATGTATATGTTACAAGTAGCACTTGCATTTGCTTTTCTAGCATCATTATTTACTGGTATGTTGATATTTTAATAGTATCTATTATGATTTGAAGGATGTCGTTTTTTTTTTCTTATTTTATTTTCATTGAAGATTTTATGCAAGCCCTTGGTGCTAGTGAACGTATATTTGATTTACTTGATCGTCAACCAAAAATTCCTTCAACATCAGATTCAACTTGTTGTATTAAACCAATTGATTTTGATGGATATGTTCATCTTGAAAATGTTTGTTTTACATATCCAACACGATCTGATCAACAAGTTCTTAATAATATAACATTTGAAATAAAATCAGGACAAAAAGTTGCATTAGTTGGACCATCTGGTGGTGGTAAAAGTACAATTGCTTCACTTATTGAACGATTTTATGATCCACAATCAGGAACAATTTATTTTGGTTCACAACCATTAAATACTATTGATCCACAATGGTTACGTGAAAATGTTTCATTTGTTAATCAAGAACCATCATTATTTGCTTGTTCAATACGTGATAATATTACATTTGGTTTTGATAAAAATAATATATCACTTGATGATATTCAATTAGTTGCTAAACAAGCAAATGCACATGATTTTATTGAACAATTTGAAAATAAATATGATACATTAGTTGGTGAACGTGGTGTTCGTCTATCCGGTGGACAACGACAACGAATAGCAAGTAAATAGAAAAAATATTATTATTAGTTTTTTGTTTTTCGATTGAAAATTCAAAAACAATTCTTTTTATTTTTTTTTCAGTTGCACGAGCTTTATTAATGAGTCCAAAATTATTATTACTCGATGAAGCAACAAGTGCACTTGATGCTGAAAGTGAACATTTAGTACAAGAAGCTATTGAACGAGCAATGATTAATCGTACAGTTTTAGTTATTGCACATCGTTTATCAACTGTACGTAATGCTGATTTAGTTATTGTTATTGATCATGGTACTATTGTTGAACAAGTAAATTGAAAAAAAAAAAAAAAATAAATGTCTTTGTATTTATAAGATTTTTATATTTAAAGGGTACTCATGATGATCTTATTGCAAAAGAAGATGGCATTTATAAAAAATTGGTTCTTCGTCAACTTATGGCGGGAAACAGTTCGATAACTACTGAATAATAGCCTGTTATCAATAATGAAATAATTGTGAATCGTTCTTCTTTTTTTTTCTTTGAACATAAAACAGAAATTATGATTGATTCTAATTTATGCAGATATATAGTAACTCCTAAAATTATTTCAGCCAGATTTATTTTCAAATTTTTCGTACTGCCATAAGCACTAATAAGAATTCACATAGGAATTTGTCTAGAGAATTGTATTTTCGAAGATGAAAATAATTGATAGTTTTTCAACGATGATAGAGTTTCTGAAGAAACAAAACCCAAGTTTTTCATCTTTTCAAAATTTCGTTTGAATTATCCAGAATGATAGAGTAAACAATTCTCTGCAAATTGAAACGTCTTCCAACTCTCTACGATGCTTTTTCATTGAGATATATCAATTTTATGGAATGCGCCAAAGCCGGTTGTTTCTAGTATTTCGTACGGAAATATGATTTTTGTGCCTTCCGTAAGATTAATGTATCTTGGTGAAAAAGCGTCGCAGAGAGCTGGAGGACGCTTGATTTCGTAGAATATATTCTTTGTTCTATCATTCTGTGTAATTCAAACAGAATCCCAGAAGATTATAAAAAAAACTTGGTCTTGAGTCTTTCAGCGATCCTATCCTTGGAAAACTAGCAATGATTTTCATTTTCTAATATATTCTTGAATAGTATTTGTTTGTAGAGCATTTTCTAGTCAACCTTATGATTTTTGATTACTTTTTTAAAAACCTTTTCATACTAACTCAGCAATATTAAAATCATTAGTATAATCTAGCATTTAACAGTATGTCACAGTCAAAATGTGAAGTAGAGAATACGATCAATGAAACCGTACAATGACCTATCAATAACTAGTATTCAAGAATGTAATAAAATTTTAAAAAACTCAAATGATAATATTAGCATCAGGGATGTTCCGAATGGCGAGTAGCCGCTAGAACATTCCCGAGGCAAACTTTTGGACTTTATCTTCGAAGATTTTCATTTCTGCAGCTCTGACTGTGAGAAATTCCGAATTTTCTTTCGTTTGACATATATATATATTTTTTTTGTGTTACTTATTAATGAGAATGTCCCTTTGATGGTTTTTTTTCTTGAAACACATTTATGTATCTATCAAACAATGTATTTTTTTTCATCACTTAGCATATGAGAAGTAAAGTTGTTACTGTGAAAGAGTAAAAATACTTGACTTGTTTTTACTAATGTAACTCCGATATTGACTATGAAAAAACTTATTCATGATCACTCCGATCCTCACCGAAGTTCAATGGAGAGCTCCAGTGAACGCTTTAATCTTGAAAAAGCTTTTTGTTTTTCTCCTCCGAACTTCGAGCGTTTTATTGTTTTGTTTGTGCTGACCTATTCCTGAAAAACCGCTAAAAAAATCCGATCAATTTTAGCAAAAATCTTCCAACAGGTTTTATGGATCATCGATCCGTGGACACCCCTTTTTGTACGATCCATTTGAAATTTTGATTTGTAAAAATAAGTGTCTGCTCTTATGTTTAATAAATATATCTGCATAACTTTCCTTCACGCTATGTTTTCTGTCGAAAAATGATTCGCAATTCTTTCATCTTTAGTAATTTGATCAGTGGTCGCATAATTGTCTTTCATAAGAGTTATGTTCATTTTTATAGGAAAAAAGCGTACGACTTTGTCTTATAGAATCCAATATATTTTATTTTTGTATTTTTGTGCATCTATTTTCATTCCACTGTAATTCTTTTTTATTCTAGATGTCAGGATTATTTGATGATTGTCTTCCATTATCTTATTATTATGAAAAGCTAAATTTGGATAAATTTGACATAAAAGAAAATCGAAATACAATCGCATCAATCATTGCTGGATCATTGGTTTGTGTTAAATTTTATTTTTTTTTTCTTTATATAATTAAGATTTGATTTTTTTAAATTTGGAAATTTATGAAATGTCTTATCTTCAAGGGAACCCTTCTTTACAGTTTTTGGTTTTTCATCGCTAATATAGCTTCGAAGTATCCTCTGCCAAATGCCATATAAATGAGGATTCTTCATTGTTAGTTAGCACTTTTATTGAATCCAACTCTCGAAAAACTTGCACTGCGATTATTTTTTGTTTGCGAAATTTTCCGAATCATAATGATTATTTCTCATTTCAAAGGCGCTGAGAGCATAGGTCTTGGACCTCTCACAGAGCTGAATACGATCAGTTTTCGATTGATTTAATTGGAAAAGAAAAAACTCTTGATACATACAGGAAAGTTTGTTTTTCGTTTTTTTCGGCATCAGTTTTTACATGAAAAAAGTGTAGAATCACTCTTCGTTTCTCTGACATGACTGAGACGGTTTTTACAAGTATTAGACACTGCTTGGGATGCCCGACTTTTTTTGTCTTGAAAAATATTGCATCATTTTTCTTTGGTGCAAATGAAAGGAGATCAAAAGAAAGGAAAAAAAGTTAGACACGCAAAATATCGACTCTGGAAATTTCATTGATTTCTGATGAGCCGTTCTTGAAAAATTCCAGAAAGGGATCCACTTACGTGTAAATGGATTGAATATTTAAAATTGAACTTGACACAATTTATTTTTAGTTTGCTGTTGGCTGGTGGTTGATTATTGATGTTGCTGTACGTTATCCGTCAAATGATCATTTTCACAAGGCTCTTCTTACTATTGGAATAGTGGCATCACTTGCTTTAATCTTGTAAATATATTTTCTTTTTTTTTGTTTTTTGGTTTTGTCATTTTCAGTTACTAATAATTTTAATATTATTTTAGTGTTAACTCAATATCAAATTCGCGTTTTCGGGGTGATTATTATCGTGATGGTTGTATTGGTTTAGTCTTAGCGCGAGTAATACTTTTTCTTTCATTTCTATTTGTGTTCGGCAGTGTTATTGCTGGCGCATGGATTATGATTGCTTTATATATAATACCAAATGCAGAACATGTATATCCAGGTGTAGCAGTTTTTCTTCAAAGTTTATTTATTTTTGCTAGGTAGATTTTTCTTTTTAATTGTTATTTAATATGAAAAAAAAAATTAATTCATCGATTTTTTTGTTTTCATTCTTTTTAGCACACTTACACTCAAATTTGGACGAACGGAGGACGAATAGATAGTTTGTTTTATAGTTCTAAATTTTTATTGTAGCTGAGAGCTTAGTTTTTTTTTTGCCTATTGTCGTGACATAGTGATGTGCATTTTCTTTTGTATGCATTTTTTTGTGCTTGATGCAATTTAAAATTAAAATAAAAAGTCTTCTAAAATTTTTATCAGATTCATAGAAGAATTAAATTATTTATTTAATAGCATCGAATTATTAAAGATTTTGGGTACTATATATTCCAAAATCATACTTATCTTGATCTTTAGTATTGAAATGAGTACGATATTTTTAAGAAAACTAATGGAAATCGAAAAGCTTTCTACGCAAGATCTGAATCACACAAAGAATGAGTCGGACGAAAAAGTTCTGTTCAAATATTTATTAGTTGAATGCTAAAACACGATATTCATCATGCTTTAACCAATGTCTGTCATTAATAGGGATGTGCGAAACTGGAATTTAAGTTTATAGTAAAACACTCTATGGTTTTAAGTGAATCATATTATAAGTCATCAATCAGAACATAATTCAAGAGTGAAGACCCAAAAAAGTGCTGGTCATCGACTAAATAAATCAAAATACGGATATTGAAGAATTTTGTCAGATATGTGACGAATAAATTCTGGAATAGTTTTCTCAAGATCGGAAGCAAAAAGAACTTGGTCCTGCACATCTCTAGGCATTAACGAACAATTGAGTTGACCTTTTTTTCAATCGTTTGCTATCCTCTAACGAATTTAAGTTCTATTTGATGATTGAAATGATATGGATAACAAACAGGTTTCATAAGTAGTCTTTAATATTATAGTTTCGTTTCTAGAAAAAACATAAAATTCATCATATATCATCGAGATCTTATAACTAATAAACATTTTAATCTAATTTTCTTCAGTTATAGTTAATCAATTTGTAGTAACGATGTCATTTTCATGATACATGAATGAATCTGTGTGACTGTTGGACGATTATCCCAGACCCTCTTTCATACTTTGTTTCTTTGAAAGTAATGACATGAATTGGGTATAGCGCAATTCGAGACATGCTAGCAATGAATTACTCAAATCGAATTTCCTCATTTATTGCTCAAGTTCAAACGAAGACTAGAAGTTTGTATTATGCTATCAAAATCATTTGTTTAACAGACAATGTAAGTTAGCTCTCTTCTACAATATGATGACTTCACAGAGTTCTGTTCACTGAAACATTGACAATGTTCGTTGTTTAAATACTGTCTTGAGAGCTTCCTTCGGGTAAAACTGTTGTTCATCGAACAATTCCCAAGTATTCAACTGGTTATTGCCGTTCGCTTCCCGTAAGTTAAACTATCGTTCGCTAAAGAAACTTTCTTTTTCATCATCTTGCCGATAGCATCATTACTATGTCCATAATTGCTACGAAGAATTTGAGGACTATTATAATCTGATGAAACTCTGTTTTAATCATTTGTTGCTATTAATATACAATTCTTTTGTGATGTGTGAGATAATTTTATAATAATACTACACGTCATTTGCGTGTTTTTTTTTAAAAACACAATTGACAAAGGGAGACAAGTTTATATTGAAGACTCTCGCACTGCTAGCGGCTGATTAATACGTGATACAAAAAGTAATGACTAATAATGATACTTTTCTTTACTCATATAGAAGAAGACAGGTGTCCTTCGTAACATTTACATTCGTTAACTAAGAATCTTTATAGTATTTGGCAGAGACAGAAAATATCTAGCAATTAGTGAGTTTATTTTTGAAACAGTTGTAGATGGATGGAAATTTTTCCTTCTATTGTGTGCAATTAATCATCCATTGTCTATGTATGGATAAAATCTGAAGAAAATTTTACAAACAAAGATTCAATAGATTACTTCTAATCGATCACTATTCTTACAAACATGAGAAAAACACATGTATCATAAATTATATCCATTGAATAATTCAGATGAATCATGCAAAACATATTTAGTTTATCCGTATGACTATTAGTTTAATTTCTGAAAACTTATGGATTAAATTAAACAAAAAATGTATTGTTATATGTAGCTGCAAGATTAAAATTAAACAAATTTTATCTTAAATGATAAAAAATATTTAAAAAATATGTAAAAACCACATACGTTTTCAGAAATGAAAAAAAAAGGAAATGATGGAGAAGTTTTCATTGTTGATAATCATTTATATCAGCTTTCATTCACAACAATTATGACAACTGAACAGTCAATAGGATATTAGCTTAAAAAAAAAATAATTGTTACAGATTCGAATTCAATTTAAAAAAAGCTTCTAATACAGATCTTAGGTTTAGTTTAATATTCAAAATTTTACGTGTTTAAGGCGCTTTGAAAAGTTTCATATATATGTTAACAAAAGATACTATTTTTTTTGTTAAAACTATAAAGAAATTAATTTTGAAATTTATTGTCGTTAATAATTATCTCTGATATAGTTCATACGAAGAAACTATAAAAAAGTAAAAGTAAAAAAGAAAATTAATTAAATATATTTTTTTAATTTTAAGCCTTATCTAATCCCTATTTATAATCAAAATAAATGATAAACATGTCAAAATATTCAAGTAATAAATTCAATGGGATTAACTAACTGAAATCTTAGTAAATAATTTAATAGAATTATATACTATTCGTTTTAAATTGAAGAATAATGATCATCACTTCAGATGCACTATAAATATAGTTTATGCCAAAATGCACTATGAATGATCTCAAATGAAAATTTTTCCATAATTATTTGATTATTCCAATTAAGTCGATTGATGTTGTATTCATAACCATGAGCATGCATTTTTATTTGTATTCTATTCCTCTTCTGATAAATTATTACATTGATATCATCTTACTATTTGCAATACTGAAAAAAATTTTTTTTTTAAAAGATTCAAATAATTTAAGTAGATAAGAATATTAAATGATAAGTGCAGAAGGATACATTTTCTAAGTTATTTTTCGTTACATCAATAATACTTGATGTCATGAAATACTTTTCTTCAGCTAGAAAAAAAAAACAAATAAATATCTTCTATTTAACAACATTAACTCAATAGATTCAACAAGAAATATATAATCTTATATGTTTTCTATTAAATGATTCTCAAATGAACTATACATCTTTATTAAATACAAAGCCACGTCAAATTTACACATAACAATCATAGCGACACTAAAAGCAACAAATCAGGCTTTCTTTTTCTGCTGTCTTTATTTTTTTCTCATTTTTTTTTCCCATTTCTATCATCACGCTAGTGATGGCTTCCGGTCATACCCGTTTTTTTTTTCTTCGTTCGTGTGAGCTAACATCCTTTCAATTGAAGCAAAAAAAAAGAAGAAAAGAAGAAAAGAAGAAAAGAAAGCACGACGAGACAAAAAAAACTATAATGTATGTAGGCAGAGTAATTTTCTTCTTTATGTCGTTCAGTTCAATCAAATATTCAAAAAACTATTATTGATGGATGAAAACTTCTTACGCAATTGCTATGTCATACGAAATTCTGAACAACAACAACAACAACATAATCATCATCGTTATATGCGTTTTGATGATCATCGTTCGTTTACAGAACAACAACCACAACAACAATCGGCATTGTCACCTCCTATTGATAAATATCATTTTACCTATTTGGCTTTATTTTGTTGTGGTATTGGATTTTTATTGCCTTATTCAATCTATATAACATGTGTTGATTATTTTCATGCACAATTTCCACAAACAGCAATTATATTTCATTTAAATTTTATTTATATTATTTTGGCATTTAGTACAGTTTTATTTAGTAACATTATTGCAAATATTCTATCTGTTAAACATCGTGTTATATTTGGTTATTGTATTACATTAATTATACTTATGTTTATTACTATTTTTTGTGTTGGTTTAGAAATTTTTCCACAACAATGGTCATATTCTATTTTTCTATTATCTGTTGCTATAATAGCTGTTGGATGTACATGTAAGATTTGGTTGTTGTTATTTTGAAATAAAATGTATATGTATTTCTTTTCTAGTACAACAATCAAGTTTCTATGGACTAACAAGCATGTTACCATCTCGATATACACAAGCTGTTATGACAGGTGAAAGTAAGTTTTGAATTCATATTGTTTTTTTTTTTTGTTAATAAGTTTTTACTTTCAAGGTTTTGCTGGTCTGCTTGCATCTTGGTACGAATGATTTTCTAATTTTAATACTAGATAAGATTTTTTTTATTCATATTGAAATTTAGATCAATAGTTCTAAATAATATTAAAAAAATTAAAGAGCTAAAATTAGGCTACTATTTTTTTTTTTTAATATTTTAATATTATTTTCTTTTTGAATTTCTAGTGCTCGAATTAGTACAAATTTATTTATGTCAAATGATAGTCATTTAAGCACAATATTATTTTTTTCACTTGGACTTCTATTTGTACAATTTTGTTTTATATTTTATCTTATTCTTCAACGTTCAACATTTATTGAATATTATGTTCATCAATGTGAAAATGCAAAAAAAAATGAAGAAATTGAATTTCAAATTCGATGTCATGCAGCATCAATTAATTCTAAACAGACAATAATTGATGATAATGTATCAGTTGTTTTTTTTCTTTCTTATTATTTATTATTCATATTTTTTCTATTATTTTTTTCTTTTTAGGAAGAAAATCTTGAATCAAATACATCAACTATTCAAGATCCTCATTTTGGTATTTTAACTGTTGATACATTTGATGATCAACAACCAATTATTTCATCAGCGAATCAATATTCACTAAAATTATGGTTTCGAATAAAACGTATGATTTTTGTTTTTTGTTTATTAGAAATGAATATATAATTATTATCTTGATTCGACCAATGTGTTTAGATATAAAGAACTTCGAATGAATAGGAATGTAGTATTAGTAATCCTGAATTTGTTTTTTCTACAGAAAATGTCAAGCTTGAACTATGTTTATTATGTGACCTTTTTAAAAATATTATATTCTGAATGAGCATAACAAACCGAATAAAAGAATGTTATTAGATTAGATTTTGAGCAAATAAAGTTAAAAAAATTCTGTTCACTATACATAGCTTGACCAAACGCTATCTGTGAGTATTCTTGTGAATCTATCTAGTATTTGTAACAATAGAAAGGCGCAAACATTTGGTGTCATTAGAGTCACCAGATCGAGAGCTACGAAAGTACTTAGCTCTTTTTAATTCTGTTTGATTATTGAGAAAACTCAAGTTTTTTTCCATTTGGCAGCAAAATAAGATTTAAAAAGTTGAAAAATGCGCTCCTTTTACGCGGTTTTATTACACCACGACTTAATTCAAAAGAGAATTAGATAGCGTATGCGAGATCAACATCAAAAACTGCATAGAATCATATATATTTTAGTAGGAAGGGTTTCCGATGGAGTATACATCTATGATTCTCCTCAGGTGTATTTTTCTAAAATTTCGTTCCTAATTCCCCAGGAACAGGCTTTTTTATAGAAAAACAAAATTTCTTAAATCTGATATGATTCGATATAGTTTTTAACACTGATTCCGAATATATTATATATTTCGTTCTTTAACAAATTAATGTCCACGTCAGAATTAAAATTGAATGGATGTAAGCTCAATAACTCGACAATCATAACAGATAGAGACCTACGGTTTTTGACAATCCAGAAAGAAGATCTTCAGATGTCCTTTTATTTGATATTATATAAGACATAATATTTTAAAACTCATCATCTTCTCAAAATATTCAAAAAAAAGTGCATAAAAGCAGTATTGCATTTTGATGTAATGCTAATTTCGACATGTACTTCAGATAGGCGAAACATCTGATGTAGAGTTCAAGACACGATGTTTCAAATAAATTATCTTCTCACATTTCAATGTTGGGCAAACAAGATCGCGTAGATATCCAATCCAATTCTATAGAATTCTGTTGATTTTCAGCAAATTTTCTGACGTTTTTGTATCAACATTTCCTCGAAACATAATACCGTTTTCATGCATGTTTCTGAATTTTTTGTGAAGATAATACAATATTGCCTTATGTAGTATGAAATAAAATGACGTCTGGAGTTCTCCTCCTGCGATTGCTGAAAATCACAGACCGCTAGCTGTTGCCGTTGTCGAGTTATTGAGATTATATCTACCCCTCTTTAATTCTGTCCCGAATACTAGATAGGTTTACAAGAATACTCATAGATATGGTACAGTTAAGTTATGTATATCGGACAGAATTTTTTTAAACTTTATTTGCTCTAAATCCAATCCAATAACATTTTTCTACTCAATTTTTCATACTGATTCAGAATATAAGATTTTCAAACAGTTTGCAAATTTTCTGTAGAAAAAACAAATTTATGATTATAAATACTAGATTCTTATTCATTCGAAGTTTTTTTTATAACTAAACAGCGATCGAATCAAAATAAAAACTATATATTCATGATTAGCTCGTCAAGTTCAAGCAGACCACATATAAATGAACTATTAAAAAACAAAAACTTCACTCGATTTTTGTATTTCCGCGACTTAAAGAAAAATTTTTTCTATAGGTGAATGGCATCGTCGATTAGATTGTATAAAAGTAATTTGGCCTTATATGATTTCTATAGCATGCACTTATTTAGTAACTTTATCATTATTTCCTGGTGTTGAATCTGAAATGATTAATTGTCAATGGCGTGAATGGTTACCGATTACTTTAATGGCTTTATTTAATATATTTGATGTTTGTGGTAAAATGTTTGCACTTATTGCTCATCATATGTTATCACCAATTCAATTATTTATCTGTAGTCTTTTACGTTTAATTTATATACCATTAATGATTTTATGTATTTTACCAAAACATGCAGCATATTTATCAAATTTATTTTGGCAATTCTTTTTTTCAAGTACACTTGGTTTAACAAATGGTTATTTTGGTAGTGTACCAATGATTCGTGCACCAATGACAATTATTGAAGAACGAAAAGAATTAACTGGAAATTTAATGATGTTTTCTTATTCTGTTGGACTAACAGTTGGTAGTCTTATTTCGTATTTACTTGATGCAATCATTGGTCAAAGTCCTGGTGTTGATTGGTGTCAAACACTATCATTACTCAATCAAACAACATGGACTATTATTAACAACACCAGTTATAATGACAGCAACTCTTGATATCTCAACTCATTTATCATCATTTTGTACAATAACAACAAATATTAAACAAGATACAATAATAGAAGGGCTATAACCACCAAAGACATTATACTATCGATATCTGGCTTTTTTTTTTATATATATATACATACATCTATTCTTGTTTCTCATAAATATTCTTATTTTTTTTCTGATTCAGTAAACACGTATATTTTCTATATAATGCTAATAAAATTCTCGTGGTTTGGTATGTAAATTAAACATATTTTAATAAACATTAATTTTTATTTAATTTCTAGTTCTTCTAATCATTTTGGTTATTTGTCGAGCGACTACGTTATATAATCTTTATCATGATGATGATGATAATGATTATCATGAGACAAATATTGAAAAAAAATCATTTACTTCTCAACAATTAGCTAAACTTGATGAATATTTTTCATCTAAATATAACGATGAACCATTATCTGAAGTTTTAAATCCTATGATACACTATTCAAATGAAAATGATATAACTAAACGTGATGCTTTATGGACAACAACAGAAGTTCTCGAATGTATTCGACGCTTGAGATATTCGAAGAACTCATCAAAACTTGATCTTGTTACTGAAATGCTCAATTGCTATCGACGTTTGAGACGTCCCGGTTAAAGGCATTTTAATGATTATTGTGACAATTGAAATAAATGTTTAAAAAAAAAAGCATTACGTACGTTTAAAAATAAAAAATAAATATCAAACTTTACATTATAAATTTAAATAAATAAAATCTTCATTTTAAACTTAATAATAATTTACAAAAAAATCTCTTCAAATGTCAAATCACTTTCCAACTGAGATGATATTCATTTGATGAGTAGTAGAAAATTCTAGAATGGTTTGGTTTTTTGAATGTTAGTTCTTATAGTATCGAAATTTTAGTGGGTCTTTCATCAAATGAACATCGTCTCGATTGAAAAGCAATTTGATACTTGGAGAGATTTTCTCATTAGTATAAAATAGTATTAATTTATTGAACACTTGAAATTTCTTCTCTTACTGACTGAAATTTAATTTTTTCAAAGAAATTTGGCGCTTATAGTTTGAACAATAATTTATTATATAGAAGGCTCAAAATAGATGGTTGAATTGATACATATTATGACATATTAAGAAGATTGAAATCTTTAAAACATAAGAATAAAACAGGTACTATAGTTCTTTGTAATAAATCAATTAAAAATTGATTAATATTGAATTCTTTTTTTTTGAATAGAAGAAGGAATGATGTTTTATTCTTTTATAAATAAAACTAAGTTATTTTCAAACAAATTATTCCTTTGGACATCATCAATAATTTTATGCTTAAATCTAAATCTATTGTTCATCAACTATTCACGTTTTTTTCTTGTAAGTTTTCATAGAAACATCAAGAAAACTTATGCTAAGATCATTGTATATAGAGTCTCTAGAGCAATTAACGTAAATCAAAAATATATTGTTTGACACGTTTATTATCATATTGAATATTCATGCTGAATAATTATTTCAAAAACTTACAACAATATAAACATGATCGAAAACAATACTCATCTAAAGAAAATGAAAATGATGATAATGATGATGATGATGACTACTTGTTTCGAGACACATCTACATCAATATTAACAATTACAAAATTAAAAAGCAGTTTTGAAATTTAAAATCAAGTATTTTTGTTTTTGACAAATTCATGTTTGTTTTTACAGACACAGAAGAATTGGTTGGTCTTCAACAAAAATCACAAAAAGTCGTCGATTGGTTTCCAATTATATCAATTATTTTAGCTGCTATTATTTGTCTGATTGCTTTCATTATTTTATGTAAACGACAAATGTATGTGTGTTGAAAATAAATTTTTCATAAAATCATATATCTGCTTTTTTAGAGATCATCGTCAGTATATTCATCATCAAATAAAACGACAAGAAAACAATCAAAATAAAAATAATAATCAAATATCATTGACTACATTCGATGTAGCGGAATGTATTGATGGTGATATGGAATTCGTAGCTGGACTTAATATACATTTGGCTAAAGGTAATTTAATACTGAACGATAATGATGCTCAAATGGTTAGTTAGATGTTTCAATCAAAATCTGAAAGATAAATAATTTTAATTGTTTCTTTTTTCAGCTCAATTCAATGAATACATTTGATCGTCTTCAATATTTTCAAAAACTTACAAATTATGTCAAATAAAAAATCTTTCTGTTGTTTATAAATAAAAATAATAAATTCTTTATAAGATATTTTTAATATATACAATTCATTTCAGGCAAAACTGGACATATTCATCTTTCATTTGACTTTGGTTTTTTTTACAAGAGTTATTTTTTTAAGTAAATTCTTTTAGCATAGACATTGTCAAAATGTTGGCTCTTTCAGCTGACTATTAATTACAAAGTGATTAGCAAATATCTTCCTAACCATATTGGAAAAAAATTCGAAAACTTCAAGATAAATTCTTCAGCACGGACTACATCTATGGTGAAATTTTCAGCAAGAGCAGACTCCAAAATATTTACTCTTAAAAACTGGTTTTCGAGAGATCCTCTCAAGTATCGAAACAACACATTTTGCCTTGCTATCATCTAGAGATTTTGAAGAAGGGTTTATACCGTTTGGAATTAGTATGGAATTTCTCATTCAGTTATAGGAGCGCTCTTTTTCGTTTGTATATTCATATTTCGTTATGTTGCTAACGCTAATTTTTTAACTAATAATTCCTTTAAACAAAGGTTTCTAGTACTGATTTTTTCAGAGCATCTAGAATGACTTAACCAACATATAACTAAAGATGTACAGAGTAACTCTATCTTGCAAGGTAGGATAAGGGTAAGTGTGTTACAGGGTAAGGCTTAGACAATTTTTCTTAGGCAGGACACAGGATACGAAAAAAAACTTAACCTGCACATCTCTACTGTAATACTATTTATCATTTTTAGAGTCTTCCAACTAACGTATTATGAAGAAAGAGTGACATAAAAACTTTGTAGGATAAGGCAAAGGTAGTTGTTCTACAGAATAGGGTAGGGTAATGGTAGAGCTTTTGTGGGAATGACATTGATTTGATCGAAAGAAAAAATGTCGGAAAAAGTTTATTTTGAAATGTTCGACCAGCAAGATGGAGATATTTTATTGCATACACAAAAAAGTAAGAGATGCATAAATACACTAACAAGAAATACCCATGTAAAAATAAAAAGGTATTTAACGAAAATGATTCATAAAATTAACGCAAAAAGATGCGTTAAAAGACAAATTAATGAAATTTCACGAAGAAAATTTCATGAACTTTCATTATATTCCGAAAACGCGTGTAAACGCGTTAGATTTTTCATGCTTTTTCACGCGTGATTGTCGTTTTAACTGTAACTAACTCATTAAATGCCCTTAAAGGTTGCATTGATTTTCACGCGTTAAGAAGTTTAACGATATTTCTTGAGTTTTTTTATTTTTAACCAATCTTACCATGTTAAATATCGTTAAACCTGGTATTCATTTTCATGTGTTAAATATATTAACGCATTTTCATGGATTTCTGTATTTTTCACGAAATTTAATTGATTGATTCTCATTAAATCTAGTGACTGTTTTCACGAGTGAAATATTTTAACAAGTTTTAATGAAAATTTTAATTATTAACGAGCGTCATTTAATTATGCATTATTCAATCTACTAATCATTTTCACGCATACAATATTCATCATTTTTTATGCAACATACTTGTTTATGCACATTATACAAAAATCATCTTGAAAGACTTATATTTACGAAATATCAAGTGTGTCTGTGAACTATATCAATCCAGATATCAAAAGCTTTTTATCAGATTAAGCAGAACTCTCCTTTAGAGAAATCTCAACGTTGTATTAATCACTAGCAAAACAACTTGAATTAATCCTAGACAAAAATAAACCCCGTTCATTTTTTCTTTAAAATTTACTATGGGTTTTATATCTAAAGGAATGTAATTCTGTACTTCGTACATCATCATTTCTGCTCCACATGATAAAAAAAAGTTTGGCGAAATAATTGCTCCAGTTAAGGCCAAAAGTTGCCTTAAAAGGCAAATTAATGAAGTTTCACGAAGAAATTTTCATGAATTTTTGTTAGATTTGGATAATTCGTTTTAACATGTTAGATTTTTCACATTTTTTCACATGTGATTGTCATTTTAATGGTAACTAACTCATTATATATCGTTAAATGCTGCATTCGTTTTCACACGTGTGATATTTTAACTTTCTCACTTGAGCTACATGACACCTATATAAGTGTGTATTTGATATAAATTCCTCTTTTACGCTATGGAGTTGAGCTGAGTTAAGTTTTTCGCTTATAGAAATTAGATCTAATATGAAAAATATGACTGGTTTATCTCTGTTAAATATGTAAGCTGATATACTAAGTTAAAAGGAAGGGGATAATTAAATTATATTAGTTCGTGTAATCTGTCTTTCCATAGTTCAAGCTAATGAATATATTACTCCTTAGAATTTTTCATACATTGTTATTCACCGCCAATAATGATGACATTTCTTCAATGATCAATATCTTGCTAAGTTTTACTCGTCTGAGAAGAAAAATCCAGCTAATCAATTCAATATTAGATGTACTTTCGAATAAGATGCTTAAGATAACATTATTATCACGAAAAATATTTCATAATTGAGAGCGAAACAAATCAAAGAGTACAATATTTTTTTTACTTTGTCGATATCCCAGATTTTAAACAAGTAGTAGTCTCATCATTCCTGTCGACTATGAAATACATCTCTGGTACATACAAGAATGCAAAATTGTAGCAAGTAAAGCCATAAATAGTTTCAGTTTCGAGATATCGACAAAATCGAAAAATATATTGTACTTCCTCGGTGGTTTTGCTACCTATTACGAAATATATATACTGATAACAATACTTTCTGAAGCATTTTATCAGAAAGTATATACAATATTGAATTGATTAGCTGGACATTTCTCTTCAGACGAGTGAAACTAAGCAAGATATTGATTATTGAAGGAAGTTCATCATACTTGCTGTAAATAAGAATGTATGAAAAATTCTGAGGGATAACATGTTAATCAGCTTTCGTATTTAACGCGTTTTCACGCATTTCTCGATAAATTCACGTGTGAAGAATTATTAAAAATTTACTGATCTAACGAAAAAAAGATCGTTAGAATTCGAAAACGCGTTAATTTTGCGCACTTTTAACGCATTTTCATGATCAAAATTGTAACATTTTTAATCGTTAAATCGTTAAATTTTTAACGAATTTTCACGTCACAACGTTTTGTTAAATTAGCAAAAATTTTTACATGGGATAATAGAGTATGGATATGGTTGAAAAGCCGATTCGCATTTCACACCAATGCTCACTCACCCACACTCACACCCCGAATGATTTTGTCTATAATATTCTATATAAAAAGAAAACGTCATTTTTATTTATTGAATCTTCTTTTGATATCAATCAATATTGAATAAAAAACAGATAAAAAGTACAATAGTCATGACATCTCCTACGATCAATTATTTTTGTGTTGGCGTTGGTGAGATATAGCATTATATTGAAAAAAAACATGTCTTATTGTTTTAAAGGTCGGATTAATTTTTGTTTTCTTCATCTAGTTAATCGTTTCGTTAACAGTAAGTGTATATATATATAAGAAAAAGAAAATAAGTAAATGCCAGTTAAGATCAGTTTATTCTTATACAACAATGATCGGTTTAATTCTTATCTTTACTATTGTTTCATTTGTCGAACCAATAGCTTTAAATATTACAGGAACAAGTTTGTTAATTAATAAAATTTTACTTATTATTATAATTATTGAAAATTTAGGTAATCGACAATGTTGTGGAACATGTTTTATATATGGTTGTCCAGCTGGTCAATGTTGTTCACAATATGGATAGTAAAGAATTTTAAAAACATCTTTCTTTACTTTATATAAGATTGTTTCGATATATTTAGTTGTGGTGCAACACCTGAACATTGTCAAGGAGCAATAACACAAGGCGATTGTAAAACAAACGGATGTCCTAATGGATTATGTTGTTCAAGATTTGGTTTTTGTGGAAATACACCTGAACATTGTGATAATGCACCATTAAGTAATGGAAATTGTCAAACTGAAGGTTGTCCACCGGGACAATGTTGTAGTGCTCATGGATTGTGAGAGGAAAAAAAAATTCAATATCATATAGATGATTTATATTTATTATTTTATATGATAGTTGTGGAACGACACCTGAACATTGTGGTAATATTGATCCAACAGTTGGTCAAGGAAATTGTAAACAAACAGGATGTGCACCTGGTCTTTGTTGTTCAAAATTTGGATTGTATGTACAAAATTCTTTGTTAAATACGAATAATAATAATAAAAAATTGTATTGTATTTTTTTTAATAGTTGTGGTCGAACAACAGAACATTGCTTTGGAACATCATTAACGCATGTACCAGGTAAAATATATCTAATTATTTTTTGTCTTAAATATACATAGTCTCATTCTGTTTATGATCAAATGTTGGTTCGGTAGGATGTCCAAGTTGTACTAATAGTGGAACTACTAATTGTGGTACAGGTGGATGTGCTGGCAAAAAATAATTGTTTTTCCTTTTTTCTTTTCTTTTCTGTTTTGTATGCTTTTAAATTTTAAATAAATATTCTAAAGAGAACTTTTCCTTTTTGTGAAAGAGATAAAATATATTAATAAATAGATTGGAAATTGAATTATTATATATTTGCAACAATAGAAAAACAAGTTTTCATTTGAATATGATAAAAAATTATTACAGGTGATCAAATAAATAGGAACTTATGTTATTCTATACTTCTGGATGAAATGATTAATCGAGCACAAACGCTATACTTGATCTGAATATATACAGAGTAATCTTATCATATGCATATCAACTCAGCTTCGAACGCAAAAAAAAATGTTAACCTATATGTGCCGACGTCACACCCATATCAGTGTCAATATTGAGAGTAAAAAAAAAAGAAAAATCTTTTCTTCTTTGATTTCTATCAAACACGTACAACAGATACCCGTTTTCTATTCTTGCATTAGTTGTTTTTCATTTTCAACACGTCATCAAAAAAAAAAGGAAATATGGCAATCAATCCTCATATTTCTGGTTTAGCTATAACAGGTTATGTTTTCTGTGGAATTCTTGCTGCAATACATATTTATATATTTATATTGGAAGCCATACTTTGGAAAAAACGAGCAGCTGAAGTTTTTCGATTACCACAATCAACTGTTGACGCTGGCGCTAGTTTAGCCGCCAATCAAGGTTTTTATAATCTTCTACTTGCTGTTGGTCTTATTTGGGGACTAGCAGAATTAAATCCTGATCGAATGTTATTTTTTTCGGCAGCTATATTTACAGCTGGTATATTTGGTGCAATAACAGCATCACCTCGTATTTTATTTGTACAAGTTATACCAGGTTTACTTGCGTTTATTTTTATTGCTTTTGGTTTTTTTCCAACAAACGTTTGGTCGTATTGGAAACATCCATTATATTTATTACTTATTTTAATTGGTGCTGGTCTTGTAACAGCTATTTTAAGTTTTATAATAGAAAACGTTTTTCTAAAAACTATTTCAAAAACATCTCCACCACAAATATCACCTAATGACTATTTGTAATTTTAGATGAATGTTTTATCTTGCCGATTCGTATCTTTTTTTTGTTTAACAATGATAAAAATAATAATAAAAAGAAAAAGAAAATTTCTCGAAAAAATATGATATATTTATTGAATTTATTGCCAAATCATAGCTGAATATATTGTCTGACGATATCAAACTTCTCATAGATATTTCATTATATTCAATTTTTGATTTTTATTTGAATTCAAATTTATCACAAACAGAATTAATACAAAAGAAAAAAGTGAAGGTAATGTAACGCATATTTTAAGTGATATTCATATATAGGCTTGTTTTCGTTTTGATATGAACAAAATAGAACATTAATAAAAGCAAAAATAATATATACAATGTGTATAACATGAAACAAAAAAAAAACATGTGTATCAATTGAATAAATTTTGTTATACACTAATGTTTGTTTGTCATATTTGTTTATTTGCCCAAATTGGCTCCACTTGGTCCATGTCCACCTGTACCTACAGAATGACCTCCTTGAGCATTTTCATGTCCTAATTGTTTGCCTCGTGCAACAGGATCAGGATTCATGCCTGGATGTAATTGTTCTTCACTGAATTGAGACGGATCTGATACATTTTTTCCACCTACAGGTTGATTACTGCCTATAAACATAAATGTATACAACAATTCAAAAAACTATTAATTTAAATTCATCAAACTACATACAACCACCGCTGCTGGTACCATGTCCGCCTGTGCCTACACACTGACCGCCTTGAGCATTTTCATGACCGAGTTGTTTGCCTCTTTCAGCTGGATCAGGTGCCATGCCTGGATGAGATGGATCTTCTGGTCGTTTATCATCAGCTTGTTTATTTCCAGCTTGTTTTGGTCCTTCTGACATGTTGATAATATTTAAGAAATTGTAAATAGTAAGAATAAGTATGTAGTTGTAGTAAAAGTAAAAAAAGAAGAATGAAACCTGACAGAGAGAAACGTTACTATTTATAGGAATGATTCTTTCTTTCTTTCTTTCTATAATGATTGTTCGAGAGAAGAATGTGAATATTGTGTGTACTTCTTCACCTTTACTTCTCTTATCGTGAGTTCCTTTGGAAAAGAAAAACGTAAAAAATTCTTCATTGGTTGAATGAGAACAATGCGGTACAATCGATAAGAATAACTGAGCAACGCAATAGTATATGTCCGTTTTAACGTGATATGTACATTATAGAATAAGAACAAATAGAAAAGTTTCTTTTTTTTTCTCTGATTTCACTATGGTAACGAACAATAATATAAAGAATAGTGCGTTTTTTTCTTTTCTTAACCTTTGTGTAAAAAAGAAAGCAAAAAGTATAAAGTAGTGTGTGTTACAACAATAATAAGTGCATTGAGTTGATTCAACAAGTTTGATTTTTTTTGTTTATATATAATACAAAATTTCAAGTCGTAATTGTTGATAAATTGTATTGATTTTATGACAAATGATTCATTTCCAGAATACAAGAATCGAATAGATATAAAATTTGAATCCTAATTTTTTATTATTTTGTATATATGAAACGTATTTATCTTAGAATAACTAAATAGAGAATAAAAACATCATCTTGTTTTCTCAACGAATATTAACGCTTAAGATATATCATGTAACATATAAAAAACAATAAACAAGTCTCAAATTTTCTAAGTGTGATGTTGCGTATAAGAAAACTTTATAAATAATTGACATAGTACGAACACATATCAAACATCTTTTTTCCAACGATCAATAACAAGAGTTATCTAGTAAAATTTAAACTTAATGCAGAATCTCATGCAGATTAACTTCTACATTGTGAACATAGATTTATACTAAATATAATGAAGAATTGTTAATGTTATTTAGACTGGAATATACATTTTTTTTTCAATCAGGGACGGCGCGAAAAGGTCGGAGTAGGGGGAGTCAGTTCTAAAATCGGAGAAAGTCAAAAATTGTTTTCCAAACTAAAGTTTTCTCTGAATGAGAGAAAATTGTATAATATATTTTTCCAAAATCGAATAAAATCGCTCAAAACTATTCTCGAAACTTGAATTCTCTTTTAATTTAGAAAAGATTTCTAACGAATTTCTCCAAAATGGGAAAAGATTGCCTAATAATTTTCTCCGTAATTGAATTTTTTTGCTGTCAGAGAAATACATTAAAAAATTTTCTATAAATTCGGACAAAATTCAAGTTTGGAGAACGTTTTTAGGCAATTTTCTCCTACATTGTAGAAGTGCATTTAACAATTTTCTTCGATTTTGGATAAATTTTTTTAATATATGCCTTCAAAATCGGAGAAAATCCAATTTTGGAGAAAGTTATTAAACAGTTTTCTCCAGTTTCTGAAAAATTTTTATAATATATTTCTTCAAAATCAGAGAAAAGTGCTTAAAAGTGTTCTCCAAAATCGGAGAAAGTTGCTTAGTAGATTTCCCAAATTCGGAGAAAATTGATCCCCAAAACTTCCAAATTCGGAGAAAGTCCCAACCAAAATTTTCTGGAGCAGAGAGGGGGTAACCCCTCCCCCCGATCGCGTTGTCCCTGTTTTCAATCTTTTGATTTAAAAATATTTAATATTAATCAAATGTCTAAAAAAAGCGCATAATATTTTTTTTCTATTTTCAATTAAAATACCGAATATAAAATTCCTTTTTTTTTTCAACGATGAACAAAACGACTATTAATACTCTCATCGATGTTTAATTCATGTTGAACATAAATAATATATTTGATTTATATCAAATTATATACAATACATCAATTAATAATGAGAAAATATCTAAACGCAATATTTCTTCTCATGAAATAGTGATTATTATTTTTTTTAGTTTAATTTGTTTAATGATTTTTATATGTATTATAAAAGCATTTATACGACGACGACGAAAGCATAAAAAACAAAATGAATCACATTCTATCAGAAAACCAATATCAAATATAATTCCAGTAGGAAAAAATATAGTAGAAATATTAAGTCAATCGGATTCTATTCAATAATATGAATAAATATCATAATGCCGTTTTTAACTCTTTATATAGTCAAAAATAAGATATAGAAATCAGTGTTCTGTTGGTGTAGCGGTTATCACATCTGCTTAACACGCAGAAGGTCGCAGGTTCGACACCTGCACAGAACATCTTCTTTTTTTTCTCGTTCTTCTTGTTTTTTTTCTTTTTTCTGTTCTATCCAGTCATGGCAGACAATAATGTTGTTGTTCGCTGCTGTAGAATATTTTTAATTTATTCTTTTAAAAAAAGCAAAATGAAACATTTTTGAAAGAAAAAAAAAATAACGAAAAATTATTATAAAATATAAACAATTATTTAATGAAAATTTGAAAGAAAAAATAAGAAAAATTTAAAAATATTTTTTATTTATTTTCATAAATATTTAATAATAAAATCTACCTCGATAAAAAAAAAGAATATGTAGGTATAATAACTAAAAATATCTCTTTCAATTATATAGCATGTTTCTTTTTCTTTGATGAAAAAACTTTTCATCAATATTCTTAACGGTAATAAATAATTGCTAGTAACTGGTTATTAAATTTTTTCATCTCATCGATATCTTTTATCAACGGTTATGTTTAATTAAGACTTAAAGGCAAATCTGTTTCCTTTATGAAAAGAAATCATGTTATTCTTTTAAACAATTTTGAATATTTTATAATGCAAGTTTCTTAGTATAACATGCCATTTATGCTATGTAGAAATGAAAAACAATAAGTATATTTTGTTTTTATGTTCTCAAGGGATTTGTGTGACATATTAAACTGTCTGAACTTAGGTTTAAGACAGACTATTTTCATTTCAATAATGATATTGTCTACAACACGAACACATTTAATATACTTGAGACATTTTATGCACAGAGTAATTATTAAAAATTATAAAGAATTTAATATTTTCTACTCACGCATCGGTATATACTTTGAATAAATTAAGAAATAGATCTAGATAGTTTTAAACTTATAAATTGTACAGGTAAAAAGTGATTGTTATTTTCTATTCCAACTAAGAATTTAGATAGTAAGTGGTCATCTATTACTTTGAAAATTTGTTTCAATTTGTCTTAGTAAAGTAATCAGAAAATCGTGAATAGTAGGGCGCAGTATACAAAGTTTTTTGAAAAAGTTCATCCGAAATAGTGTAGACGATGACAATCATTAGGTTTTTCTTTTTTAGGTAGTAGAATAAAGATCACCGGTGAAAAGCCTGATCCACTCTTGGTTACGCCACTAGTTTGTAACAAGAAATTCGAGTAAAAATTGGCTTCATTTAAACTCGAATGAGCTTCGAAAATCATATTCTTTTCATATATGATCTTTCGCTTCTCTTTACCCACATCTTGTATTTGCCACTTGGTATTTAATACATCGAACAATTTCAAACTATGGCACTTTTATATTAACAATAAATTACTTTTTCTTTTTGCTTGAATATATATACGTATCTAATTTATGCAATGAAAGTCAGTAAGAGTATAAGCATAAAAGGTACGAATAGATTCTTCTATTGTTTATAATAATTTTATCTTAAAAACAAAAGTATTTGCATCTTCATATTTTGTTTTTCTTCAATAATTATTTATTAATTTATATCAAAAAACAAAAAAAGAAGTTTTTTTTTTCTCGTTTACTTTCATGCCATTCTTGATTATGAACCAATTTTTTTCTTATTATCTCTTTAAGAGAGAAAAAAATTATATTAAATATTGATGCTCTCGTTTTTAAATTTACAATGTAAGTTACTTTTCATATTATTTTTCTATATTTATTAAATGTGTATTGCCTTAGGCATAACTATATAATCAGAGTAATTTTCACGTCTTCTATCTTATGTTTATAAAAATACCACTTAAGATGAAAGTAAGAACGAGATTTTGTGTTTTTCTTTTCTTTTTTTTTCCACATCCGATAATGTCAACATTATTAATGATGCAAGAATGTAGTTAGAATCGTGCGTACATATACCGCGATTGCCAAAATTATTCAACGAGTTCATTTTTTTCCATTGTCGCCAATGTTAATTAGAATCCAATTAGTGATTCACGTATAGAATTTCTGTTTTTGAAGATGAAAATGATTGCTACTTATTCAAGGACAGGTTCTTTGAAAAATTAAGTTTTGCATCTACCGGATTTCTGCTTGCATTATCCAGGATGATAGAATAAAAAACTCTCTACAAAATGAAACATCTTCCAGCACTCTACGATGTTTTTTTTTTTAACCGAGATACATTAACCTGATGGAAAGCACCAAAATGATGTTTCTATACGAAATAGTAGAAAAAACGACCCTTTTGTGCCTTCTGTAAGATTAATGTATCTCGGTGAAAAATAAAAAGCGTGGTAGAGAACTAGAAGACATTTTATCTTATAGAAAATGTTTTGATCTATCATTCTGGTAGGCCAAACAGAATTCTAGTAGATGAAAAACTTGAATTTTGGTTTTTCAGAAATCCTATTTTTGGAAAACCAGTCATGATTTTCATCTTTGAAAATAAAACTCTGTACATAAATCACTAATTGGATTCTGATTAGCATTGATAACAGTGAAAAACAATCCTCGTCGAATAATTTTGGCAGTTACTGAATATATAAGACCAGCTCAAGACTCAAACAGTAGGTAAAACACAAGAAAGATGAATGTAAGTTATCGAACATGCAAACTTAAAGCAGAATTATCTTTTCTTTACTTTATATATAGTTAGATAAAGCGTGATGAGCTGATTAAGATCATGCAGGTTTTCAATTTCCTGGAATGAGTTTTTTTAGGAGAAATTTTTTAGTTTTTCCAGATAACCTGTTGTTTCTAGAAGACAGGTCATTTTTTGATAACCGATAAAATTTGCTAATTATTCATTTTCGTTACATTTCGAAACTATTTGTGCTCAGATTTAGTGTAAGAGACTGAGTCTAAGAAAGTTATCTATAAATAACTTTCTCAGACTCAGTCTTTCATACTAAATCTCAAACAAACAGTTTCAAAATGTAACAAAAATGAATAATTTGTAAATTTGTCGGTTATCAAAAAATAACCTATATCTTTCAAAAAAAAAACAGGTCGTCTGAAAAAACTGAAAACTTTCTCCTAAAAAAATCATACCAAAAAATTGAAAACGTATATATTCTTGATCAACTCGTTATGCTTTATCTAACCATATATAAAGTCATGAAAAAAAAATCTAGTTTAATTTTACATTTTTGACACCTTATATTTCAATTATATAATTGTGTTAATTCAAAAAAGAAAATCATATTTTGATATCTGTCGCCCATCGCAATTTGCATTTTATGTTTGTTCATTTGAGTTATACAAAATTTTCCTTTTCTTAAACATGCATATATAGATATCAATTTTTTTAAAGTTTTTAAATAACTGTATATATATATATATATATATTAAGCCATCATTATAAATTTTATTAGCTTAGAAAAATAAGTAAAATAGAAACGAGAAGAAAAGTTTATCGATAACAGTAAAATGCATGACAAAAAGGAAAGGAAGAGATTTTTCTAGATAATGCGGTCTAATGAAAATGCGTATTCTAATTTCATCAGCATATTCTGTTATTTACTGAATAGAGAGAAATAAAAGAGAGAAAACCTTAGAAAGCTGCATTATCCTATGTCATCAGATTACTTCAACCAAAAAAAAAAGAAACGTCGTCGGTTGTGTTTGAGAAGTCTGTCATCACCAGCATTAGACGCGTACATAATAATAAATCTATGAATCGTCAATTATTTTAAATCAAAAGAAAAAAAAGTGTATTTAAAAATAATAAACATAGCAGCATGTTCTACTTTTGATTTTGACACTTCATCAAAGTCATCATTCATTTTTAATTACTCTCCTCTTGTACATGGTAAAAAAAAAATTTATGCTTTTTAGATTAAGTTAATTATATTATTAACAAAAGTTGTTTTATTATAAGAGAAAAAGCAATAGTAAGTCTTTAAAAACAACATGCTTTTGACTTTTAAACAATCTTGTTAATCCGTCGTTGACATGGATTACATACCATAGCAACATATTTCATTAATTTTCAGACTTAACAAATATTTAAGCACGATCCGTTCATTTTTTTTTTTGTCACAACATAAAGACAAAAACGATTTTGTTTTAATCAGTTATAACATATGTAGAGAAGAATGTGTCCGCTAAACTCAGTTCAATGTCGCTTCCGTCATTGCTTCTTTCTTTCTGTATTTCTGCTCTAATGTAGTTAGTGAATAAATGATCTGATGATAATAATATGAATGAAAGAGACCGTAAAAAAGAAACGAGCGAGAATAAGAAGAAGAAAATTGGAAAATCAATCAAAGCAAAAAAAACAACTGAAGCACGTTGGTCTTTTTCTTTTCCCTCTATCCAATCAGTCATCCTTATTCCTATGCTATAGTTTAGCATAACATTGCGTGTTCAAGTGATCCAACTCGTCAACTACAGTTATTTACGAAGATGATGAAGATGAATAGGATATATTCGTTTTTTCTTTTCATGTCTTCTCTCTCTCTCTCAATCTTCTTTTTTTTTCCTCTTGCCACTCCAAAGTTAATAATCAACATCTAAGATATCATCGCAGAATTTTATTTTACGTACATCCATTCATTTCAGATGTGACAGAGTATAAAAGAAGTAGAGTAGATATATATATATATATATCTATATATACAAACATACATCAATATCAGTCTTATATATACTCTTCTTTGACTATGGTATCAATTTCGTGGACAACAATAGAACTTGTATCTATTTGTTTTGGTATTATCTTGATTATATTATTAACAATCGGTGGTAATCTTGTTGTACTCTTTGCTTTCTACAATGATCCACACTTATTAACACCATCAAATAATTTTCTTTTATCAATGGCTATTGCCGATCTTCTTGTGGGTCTTATTGCAATGCCATTTTATTCGTAAGTTAAAAAATAAAAAACAGAAAAATGAGAAAAACTTGAATTTGTTTTTCTTTTAAAAAAAGATATGCTCAAATAAAAGGTTTTTGGCCATTTGGACAATTTTTTTGTAAAATATGGTTAACAATTGATGATGTTGTAACAATGGCTAGTGTTTTATCAATTGTAGCTATAACTATAGAACGTTATTGGAGTATTAATCATAGTGTACATTATCGTCGTCATACAACAAAAACTCGTATAAGAATATTTTCTCTTCTTATTTGGCTTATTCCATTATTAAATTTTGCACCTGGTATTTGGTTTCTTGAATCACATGAAGATATTCATACAACAAATACAACAAAAAAAAATCATTCAGAATGTATTGGTGCCTATCATTCACATACAATATATTTAATAATTGCTCAAATAAATTTTTTTGCATGGCCATTAGTTGTTATTATTATACTTAATGCTTTAATTGTTGTTAATCTTTATCGACGATCACATCGTTTTCAAACTTATAATAGTTTTTATGAACCACGAAACACTAATATATTAACAAAATCTAAAGAAGAAAATATTGATGAAAGACAACGACAAACAATTGAAAATGATGATCAAACAATATCAGTCGCTAATGAAAACAAATATTATATGTTACAAAAAACGAATTTAGAGGTAATTAAGTCATAAGAGCAGTTATTGACTGTTATATTACTAGATAAGTAAATGTATATTCAAGAAATATTTTCTCAAAGTCAATTTTTAATTAATAATTTAAGATATATTTATTGAAATTCTAATAAATCTTATATTACGGATCATCTGATTCCCAGAGAGCGTTATTAATCAAGACTCCATTTCTTGTCATAGATGAACGTGATAAGAAGTTGTTTTTTTTAATCTTTCTTAAAAAATAGATGTTATGCTGGCGTCTAATCTAGGATCAAGAAAAGCAATCAAAATCCAATTTCAAATTTTTTTTATTAATGATCGTACGAAGAAATGATGAATATTTATTTTATAATCAATTAATTATATTAGTATTCTAATTTTTTATTTTTATTCATCATTCATAGTTAATTTTGACATTCATATAATTTTTAATAAATTTAAATTTAAAGTCTATTTTATCTTTTTCAATTTATTATTAGAGACTGATATTCAATTTTGAAAGTGTTTGATATGAAAATGTTTTTTTTTTCTTCTTTTCTTTCTTTTGATCAATACCTTTGAGGATTCTATATGTTTTCATTTATTTTGATATATAATAGGGTAATCATGGTAATTATTATGGAAATATTCCACCAACTATCAAAGAAGTTGACGAGCCTATGATTGAACATGATATAGTTGAATGTTCACCATCACCACCAATTCTACCATGTTCACCAATAGAAATAGATACAAAACAATCATCATCAAATATTTATACACGTTTTAAACATGTTTTTTTGCATTCATCAATATCAATGGACTCGACATTAAATGTTCGTCGTTCATCAAAATCGACTCAAACGTTTCATTTACCATTAAAATCAAATAGAGAAAAAAAAAATTCGCTATTTTCATGGCGTTATAATTCATATAAATTATCAAGAAAAAATAAAAACACGAATTCTGTTACTGGTGAACAACGTAATGTTCGACGTTTAAGACGAGATAAACGTGCAGCAACATCACTCCTTATACTTGTTCTTGTATTCATGATTTTTTTATTGCCTTATGTTGTTGTTGTTGTTGTTGGAAGTATTTTTTCATTAGACATTTTAACTGATACAAATAGTCAAGTATATTCAGCTGCTTTTTGGCTTCTATGGCTTAATTCAACTGTCAACCCAATTCTTTATCCATTTATTCAACCCAAATTCCGTGATGCATATAAAAAAATCTTTTTCAGATTAACAAGACGACGACGACGATTAGTTTCACTTATTGTCGATATACAACGAAAGAAATAAATAATTTACTTTTATTATATTTTTGTGTAAAATTTGTAACAATAAGACAAAAAAAACAAACAAATGAAATCATTTTAATTTTTGTATAATGTTTAGTTTAATTCAATTTTTTTATTTGATTATCTTGGTAATATTCAACTTAAATAAAGTAGATTTAGTTTGTTGTGTAAATATATAAAAATGTTTCATATTTTGTTTCTTTTTTTGTTTTACATAAAAATAAAATAATTAAAACAACAATATATATGATATGTAATAATGATTACTGAACGTTATCTTAATTACTATAGCAGTTCAGAATTTTAAGAACTGTCATATTTCGCAGTAGTATATATGTTTATTTGCACTAACGACACTATGACAAAACAGAGAAGTAGCAAATAAAGGAATAATTCAGTTGATTCTCGAGATAAAGCATTTGATGACAAGAGCAATATGTGGAGGAGGTGAATCGGAACGTCAAAGCATTTGCAAAAGACACGGATGTTGATCGACGAAACAGAATTGAATTAACGTTTGCACTCAATCACACTTGAAATTCATCTAAAAGCATATCGATAAGAAAGGAGTTCAACAAATAAAGATGAGTAGTTCTTTCAAACAAAAATTAGAATAAGAAATCTACTATATTCCCGAATTGATGACAAAGACTGTAAATAGTATATGCACTTCTTGCATTGATCATAATATATATATATATATAACAGATCAATTTATTCAAAATCTACCAATGGTAATGATATTGATTCTATTTGAAAAATTTTTGCTTCATATAAATAGGATCTTCCAGAAAAATTCTTCAAACTGAATATTTTTATTTCAATGAAAATACTTGCAAAAATAACAACAACGACAACACAATATGAATTCGCATCACATTTATTAATTACTAAACGAAAACGAAGACACACATACACACAAAAAAAAACAAAGAACTATTACATTAATCAGACTAATACACAAATTGGAATTTTTTCACAATGGATATTAGTTATAATGGAAAAATAATGAGAAGATAAAGATGATTGTCATTTTTTTAATTATTTTATTTAATTTGTTTAAGTTCGTCTGGTGGTGATCTGCAACCCAATAAATAGCATACACCACTAATTATACCAATAACAAGAAAGAAACCTAAAATATTTAACACAAAAATTTATATCTTTATTCATTGTTGTTTCTTTTTTTTTCTTTCGAATAACTTACCTGAAAGACAAAATTGAATAACAGCCCAAACAGGAAAAAAACCGTTTAGTAAACTATCTGGATCAGGTCGTCCAAAATGATCACGTGTTAATGCAATCATTTCATCTTTTGTTAAACCCGTATTTTTGATTTCAGCACAATAAACTAGAAAACCAAATGTAATATACAATTATATAAAAAGTAAAAACAACTCTCATTTCACACTAACCAGTTGTTATTACTATTACATAGATTATAAAAAGACCGAATAAAGTAGTAACCAACGAATTCATTGTATTATTAAATTATACAAAAAAACGTTCTACAACGAAAAACAAAAAAGGAAAATCATCTATATAAATATTCATGCAAAATTCATAAACATTAAGAATAATAACAACATAGTAATAAGAAAAAAACACATTATTTCTTTATTTTAATGATCATTATTTGCATTGACGACAAGCGCAATTCAGTCAAGCGAATAAACGAACGAAAAAAAGAAAAAAAAAAGCGAAGTTAAAAAACCTTATATAATATGTCGAGTGTAACTCATAGCGAAAAAAAAAGAAGAACCAAGACTACTTTTTTTTTCTTTATTAACAAGAGAACGAGTAGAAAAAATAACGATGAAACGAAAGATACGTGTGTGCATGTATTCCATGATATTAGTAAAGAAAAAAACACATATCTCTATAAGGCAACGTATAACAATCCTAAGCTCCATAGACAAACTATGTATGATTATGAAGAATAAGAAATATTATGACTATTGAATAAGAAAATTCTTGTCAAGAATAATATCAAATAGAGAATTTAATGTTCGAATGTTCTACAAATCTCCTACAATAAGGAAAACAATTATAATCCTAAATATACTATAAGATAGAAATTTAAAACAGAATGAATGAAGTCATCTTTTCAAGATGAATTGAATATTAATGCACCAATACAAATAACAGCTCAATTGAACAATGAAAGATATATAAATATATGTATATTGATATGAATAGGCAGATAAATGAAAGTGATGTCGCTCGAATGTGCCTATGCAATTTGAAACAACGCATTAGACTGATTCAATATTCTATGGATTATGAATTTCTAAAGCAGCAACAAATAAGTGAACAATAATAAAATTAGTTCATTGCACGAAATTACATTTTCATTACACTATAGAGGCTATGGTGAATTTTGATTAGTGGATTAACTGATTTTGATTTGAAACGGAAATGAAATTATTTTATTTTTCTAGTGCGTTTAGGTTCTATGAATCTTTATATAAATCAGATTTTTTTTATTTGATTACCATTAAAGACTATCGATAAAATGGGTCCAGGAAAAGGGAGAGGGCGGGTCAGCCAAAAGCATACATTTCCAGACAGGGAGATGCGATGAGACAGACACATATGAATATCCCGACACTAATTGTGATTTTTCTGTTATTTTTTTAAGCATTTTCAAGTTAAATTGATTTTCAGCAGCATTTCGAAAAGAAGAACTTCTCAGCATCATCTACGAATAAATTATGTATATCAGTCGTTTAATACAAAAAAAAAACAAAAATATATTAGAACAACTAGGCTTTTTCTAAAAAAGTTCTGAAAGCAGGACAGGAGGAAGGGAAGGGTCAAAAAAATTCGATTTTTATCTGTGTGTCCGTTAGGGATAGTTCCTTGATAAACTCTACGTAACAGCTTTTCATCGATGGAACTCTATGGAAATTGGTTAAATGAATTTTTAGAGTTAACTGTAAGTAACAATTGAGTTTAATGAGATGACTCCATTAATACTTGCTGTTTGTAATGCAAAAAAAAATAGTTTAGCAATGAAGAGAAGAAAAATTTTTGACGATATCAATTAATAGATCTAACTTTTACTCTCGTGTCGCAGTCAATAAAATCATTAAGTAATATGTTTGAATTTATTTTCATGAAATTCATAAAGATAAAAAGACAAATCTTTCGCTTAGTTACAACATTTGTAGGTATCTATATTAAATACATTCTCGTGACCTTGTAAAATTCCGAAAGGCAATCCACTTATATAGCAATTGAAAAGTCGTAATAAAACAAAAAAATTAATTATACTTTTGAAAATCTGATAATTATTCAGCATTGTTTTATTTGTAAAAACATTTTGTTAATCTAATTTACTTTCACATATTTCCAAGCTTTCGTTTGAATTCATGTTCAATTGATTATATTCAACATGTGTTTTCCTATATTATCGAATAATTATAGATAACTATTTGACGAACAGACTTAAATTATGAATTATTGCATCATATTTTACATCAAAATATGTATAAATTGTATGATTACTTATGCAATAATGCATGAAGAGCATTTCTGAATATTGATTCTACATAACAGTTCATTTATTATTATTGATGATGAGTGATTTTAAATTCTTTTAGATCAAAACATTACTTATCATCGAGAAATTCTTGGTTGGATTTCAGTATTAAAAGATTATTATTAGAAAATCATTTCGAATATTACTCTGGTCTAATTGACTGATACTTCCGGAGAAACTGAAGTATAAATTCTAAATTATTATTTTTTTGTCGTACAAAATAACATTATGCATGATTGATGGTAATAAGAAATCATTGATTTTTCATTGAATTAATATCTTCTTTAAAATAAGTTTGTTAAACTATTATAATTAATTTTAATCTAATCATCTATCTATTATCCTATATACCAACATAATATGTTTATCTAATATAAATATATACAAAACAATATGTTATGGATACCGCATAGCGATTTTCTTTGTTTGTTTTTAATCATATAATTCAAACACCGGACAATAAAAATAAAAGCAATTAAAATAGAACTAAAAAAGTATAAGTAATGATAATTATTAACAATTCGTTGTTTATTAGTCGTCTTCATATTTATTAGTATTTCAATAAAATAAGATCCAAAAATATCCACCTAGAAGAAAAAAATAAAAAAATAAAAAAATTTAAATGAAACACTAACATCAATAAATATGATTAATCAAGAAAACATTAAAACATACACAAAGCTATCTATTATTACATTAATGCACGCATGTATATATTAATTACCGTTAATATACTAATATTCGATGGATAGGGATGAAGAAAGAATTAACTATTCATCTGGAGCATCAGGATCCACTTCATTATTCGATGCAGGTCTTGGTAATGGCGGTGGTCGCTATAAAGCAAAAATTAAAGCATTGGGAATGGTATTAGCTAATGAATAGTCAAAAATAAAGAAATGTCAATGATGAATAAGGAAGGGAAGGGTAAGGTAGTGATTATTATCATAAACAGAATAACTACTCAAAATATTTCGAATAGATTCATTTTTTAATTATTGTTTTGTTTATTTATTTGTTTTTGTTTTGTTCTTTTGTATATGATGATGATTATTCCAAAATGTTGATAATGATGGAGAAGTATTGTTTGTTGTTATTGCTAAATTTCTTTTATCAGCATTTGTATTATAATATTCCAAACGAGCAAGAATATTTTCGTTCATTTCACGTAAAGTACGTACTTCACAATATAACTACATACATACATACACAAAAATTAATTTAATATAACGTACTGATAAATGTAACTATGCACAATTATGAAAAAAGAAATCATTTATAATCGTATCACGAATTGAACTTAGTATTATTTTCTTTTTTATTCTGATAATATTTGAAAAACAAATAGATAAATATATATTACGTTTACATAAGTTTTCTCAGATACATTTAATCTTAATACGACTATGTCTAGGATTAACATTATCCGTCCAACCTGGGATCCGTGCATATCCACATTAATAAAATAAACATAACACATGAAGTTGCTACTAGCCTATTATAGAAGACTTGATTATAAAAAGAACAAACAGTCAAGCAGTTTGAACTATGTTTTTCTAGTCTTTTTTTTTTCATGGCCTTATTATTCTCTATTTTCGAGACGCTTGAACTCATGTATCACTATTTACACATACTTTGAATTATTCTACATAAGAACAATTTTGAAGAATTGACTAATGTTATCAATTTACTATACTCTAACGAAGGAATCATCCGAGGTGATACCTCGCATTTGAGATGAAATCTCAGTCATTAATATTGTTCATTGTTTGTTTTTATATTTTCTTTAACTTAATCTAGTGATTTGAGAAATATAGTGTAATATTGGAAATAGTGAAATAACTTATAACATGCATTAAGTGCATTAAAAAAATAGATACATGATTAAATACCTCCTCAATTTCAGATTCAGAATTTTCCTGTTGAGAGAAATATTCTATAAAAATTAAAATCAATTTTGACTGAATCTATACATACATAATCAACATCTTGTTGTTTCACTGTTCTTGTAGGTGATGGAGCAGCTATAGAACGTTGCACATGTCCAAAATCTTTACGTAAACGTTCAATTTCATCTTTCCTATATGATAAAAATTCATAAATAGAAAAAAATATATATATTTGAATAATTCCTTTTTTTTTTTTACGTTCGAAAATTTTCTTCTTGAGAAAATTTCATACATTCTTGTCGTATTGCTGATATTTTTTCATTTAGATTATAAATCTATATTAAAATTAATTTATAATAAAAATAAAAAAAGAAATATTATTTTTTTTTATGTTATATTCTACTTCTTGTGGTAATGTATCTCGTAAATTCATTAGACGAGCCATTTTTTGATCAACTTCTCTTCGCCACATATCTTGATCAGCGTGTTTATCACGTATTTGATTTGCTAATTGTTGGTCATTCTAAAAATATACTCTTCAATTTTGATTTAAATATAAATAAATAAAAACAAGCAGTTTGTTTTACATATGACAATTAAAGCAATGACAAGAAAAAAAAATGAACAAACTTCAAAAACAATTCTACTATCTATATGAATATACGTGTTATTTTTAAATTATCAATTATACAAACGTTTTTTTTTTCTCAACTTACCTGAGTCATACGTTGATTAATTTGTTCTTCGAGCACATTTAAATCAACACGTACATTATTAATACGTTGTTCATGTTTAACAAGTGCCTGCGATAGATTTTCTTCATGTTGTTGCATACCTTTTTGTAGATCGTTACGAATCTGATACATATAGACAAATACATAACATACATGCATAAGCAAAGCGAAAAATAAAAATGAAAGGGAAAAGAAGAAAGGAACATAGAGCAAAATGCACAAAGCATACTTTATCATTTAGATCACGTCGAACAGAGACAATATCTTCAGCAGTCGGTAATAAAGCAATACGAGCTGCTAAGTCACGAACCG